ATTGGCTTGCTAGCCGTATAAAAGGCTTGGGTGGTTTCTGCCCAAGTTGGAGAACTTTGAGCATGCTGCAGAGTGCCTCTACGGAGATTTGACCTGAGGCTGCTGATCGATAGACTGATCGCCTATCGATTCTTCTCCCCGTCGCCGATAGATTCCTAGACGTATCCCTCCCTGCACGCAAAAAAGAACCCACGGAGCCTAGCAAACTTCATGTGAGTCTATTCAGAGCTCTTTTGTACGAGTACTTTCTTTGGTTGACGCGACGGGCTCGCGTGTTCAGAGCCTTCAGCCGGATTGGGCTAGAAGTTCGCGAGTTTAGAACTCTTGTCTGCCTCTCTTCTTTCCTGTCTGTAACCGCAACTCAAGCAAGTTTTCCTGCCTGCATCGCGACCATCTTTGGTGTAAGTAAAATAATCTTTAAATCAACCATTACGCGTCCGTGCCTAATTCCAGCGTGTCGCCTGTTCTCTCCGATCCAGCGTGCCCGGGCTGCTGGCCACAGCTCGCACATAGCACAAAAGGGCCCCGATCGCTCCCCGCCGTCCGCACATGGCGACGAGGGTGGGATCGGGAGACGGCCCGCACAGGGAGCCTAGGCCATGAGAAGCATTGCAGCTCACCTTCATGGCAATTTGGTGGCAGTAACTATCACAATTCCTGTTCTTTTCTATTAACGACCAATACATCATTTTTCCTGGCTATGCAAAAGTGAGCTAGGAAGAGGTAGAAAGACAGGGACATTTGCCAGTTCTTCATAACTACTGAAGATCTCAGGTCTTGGATAGAAACTTGAATTATAACAGTTTTTCCATTCCTTGGAGAACTAGAGAACTTCCATTTCAGGGTGGAATTCAAGGAGCCCATTTCCAATAACAAAACTACATGGATAGAGTCAGCTCTTTTCCAGCAGCACTAATTGCTCTTTAGCCTTCACTGATCCCCAGAAGTACTTATTACTCATTATGTAAACAGTTATAAAGAGAGAGAAACACGTGAAGACATAGACAAGTGCTGAGGCTGATGGTAGTGGCAGCAGGATCCAGAGAGTTATTAGTGGGATGGATGACAACACATGGCAGCAATATGTGGAGATGAGCACTAGGGTGTTTTTCACAGATTGCAACTTTATTGGACCTAGTACTATTCATCAGACCAGCTCTGTTGACACTGGTGGCATTTAAAATTTAGAAAAAATCTGTGGCATCAGAGCAATTATAATACTTTGCACCTTTTATCTGAGGATGGCAATACATTTTACACCTATAAAGTAATTCAATCTTACATCCCCATAAAGTAACCAATTCACCATCCCCTACATTACAAGCTGGTGAAACGAGTTTCAGAGAAGCTAAATGACTTATTAAGGTTCCATAGAAACGTAGTGGAAGGACCAGACTCAGAGTCTGGAATCTGTGCACTGCTGCCTTGACTACACAGCTTGTCTGACAGCGTCCAATCCTGAATGTTTCCTGTAAAGTGCTGAATAGCCTCAATTCTCATTGACTTTAAGAGAATTTAAGGCATTTGACTGTACTTGAAGGAGAGAGCAATCTCTTCATTGATTTTAATGGAAGCAAGATCAAACTCTACGGCAGGAAAAGAGATCTATCAGTAATGTCTCAATTGAAGCGTGTGGGTTACTAGCCCACACAAAGCACCTGTGAACAGGGAAAGATCACTGCTTTTCAAATAGTTCTGCTGACTTGGTTGCATAGTCTACATTGAGCGTTACATTGTGCCACAAAGTTTCATTGTGCTGGTCTTAAACAATTACAGCGCTCTGCAGCACCAGGCTTAGTAAATCACAAGCAGATTCATGTTGTTGTATTAGGCTCCCTCTAGCGACTTGCTTAAACTTTATCTCTGTGGTACTCATGTGAACACAGAGGTTAAAAAAATGAAATCGGTCCAAACTACAAATACCAGAAGCTCTCAGGACAGCTATGGAAGGACCCCAGGATAGGACTCCCAAATAATTTGGTTCCAAATATATATATTTTTTAAACTAAAGCTTTAATGTTCCAAAATAAACATTTATGAGAATGATCTACTGAGCTGGATGTTTCTGTCAGCTTTTGTTTTTCTCTTTGCTGTGTGACAATTTCCACCTGTCAGCAAAGTGACAGGGAGAGAAGGACCCAGACCTTTCAACCTGATTTGCAGTGCATTTAACAGGAAACAGCTACAACAGTCTGGGATTTACCATGGAGAAGATCCTGAAAGCTGAACTGAAGACTTCCCTTCTGAAGGCATTTGGCAGCTCCGGAGGAGGGTGCATTAGCCAAGGCCAGAGCTATGAAACCGACAGTGGGCGAGTGTTTGTTAAAATCAATCTCAAGCCTCAGGTTAATACTGACAGACTTTTAGCTGATAATGTTGATGCTTATAGAGAGCAATGGGTTTGTTTAGTTGCCTACAGATGCTTGCTGATGATTGTAAACGGTGTGTTTTCTAGCTTCAGATGTGTCTCTCTCTTTAGGAACTGAAATATTTTATGGTAACGATTAACACATCAGACTTGGTTAATTAATATATTTAATGCTACTGTAAAGCAACTTGATGTTCCTTAATCCTGGAATTGTGTAATAGAATTGACCTGGCGGCATAAAAAGCAGAGCAGACAGCTGTCGCCTTAGTGCTTAGAATGTGGAATGATCACTTGGTGTTGGAGCAGCTGGCATCCCGGTAGTGACTGCTCACATATAGGGGTTGGGAGCCATGACTTGCCACTTGGAGAGCTTTCTGGGGATTCTTTCAGTGGGGAAGGGTGTTACTCAACAAACCCATTGGTTTCCTGAGATGTGCAGAGCTCTTGAACATCTGTATTGCCTCCTGATGCCATGGAGACAGCTCCTGCATCAGATGTGCTCTTAAGAGCTTCTCTATATGGCATCACCCCTCAAGACCCTTTAAGAGACCTGTTTCACCTGGTGCAGTGGGAGCTGAAGTAAGGTAGCACTGACAATATTGGAAATTTTTGAAGCACAGGCTGCTCTCTAAACTCTATCAACTCTCATCCTGGTCCCTTTCTATCAGCACAGTGTTAATCCCACAGGATCCCCTGCCTTCCTTGCATTGATCCATCCTCCTGTATCTTCTTAATTTTTGCTGCCATCTGTCACAGAGGTGGAGGCAAGTATAGAATCAGTGGACTGGAAGGGACCTTGAAGATCATCAAGTCTAGTCCCCTGCCATAGGCAGGAGGTTAATGAGCTCAAACTTGCTCAACGAGGTGCTTATCCAACCTCCTCTTGAACAACTCCAAGGATGGTGACTGCACCACCTCTGCCAGGATTGTGTTCCAGGTTCTACTTACCCTTATGAAAATAAGTTTTTCCTTATGTCCAGTCTAAATCTTCCCTCTATTAGTTTGTGTCCATTGGTCCTTGTCCTCCCAAGGGATGCCTTCATGAAGAGTTGCTCCCCCAGATCTTGGTGCTCCCCTTGACATACTTGTAGCAGCCCTTTCTGTTGTAGACAAGACCTCATATTTAAATAAGTTGAATGATTATGTCTATTGTGTTTTAAAAAAGGAGAGAAGATTAGTACCCTAATTGACAAGGAGTAGTCTTTTCAGCATGTATCTGATTGAGGCATTGCCACTTACTTGGTGGCAATGCCTCTGATTTCTGGAATGGCTTCCCAGAATATCAGTTAGGACCTCTTTCTTATTTTTGTATAAATCTAGAATAATACATGAATAAATAAATAACTCAGATGGTTGGTGGTAAGGCAGAACTGGAAATAGGGTTTGAACTGTAGCCTTATCTCTAAGCATCCTATCATTTTTTTGAAAGTTTGCATCCAAATGTGGCTTTTTTTGCCTGAACAAAAATATCTGTTCCATTTACAATTGAAAAGTGAACGTTTAAGACAAAATATGTGAGAGAGTGAAAAGCAGAAGCACAGAGGAGCTGAAGGAGATCTAGTGTAATGGGAGATAGTGTGACTGCTTTACCACTTCTTACTGTCCGATTTATAATACAGGCTGTTCCAGGACCTGCTGTTAGGTGAGCAGTGTTAGTGCTTCATTTTTAGAGGCTTCATTAGAAAAACAGAAAGACTTAGGAGGAGAGAGAGAAAGGAACCCTCCTGACTGTGCATTGCTTCTGTCACATAGCAAAGCCTTTTAAAATAGTTAATGAAGTATTGCCATGTTTGAAAGTTTTACTAGGTGTATGAGAAAGCTGAGTCATACAATCCCAATAGCTTAGAGCAGTGATTCTTAACTAGGGTGCCACTGTACCCTGGTGTTCTTTGAGATCCTTTCAATGTCATGCAGTGTCATGCAATATTAGCACTGTTAGGTGTTCAAACTTGATTCACAAGATAAACCCAGAGAGTTTAAATGGGAATTCATAGTGTTAAAAATACTATGGGTGCCTGTAGATGTGTGGGGAACCTGCTCCAACACGCTGTAATTACAACGCATTGGAGCAGATTGAATCAAGTGTGCCGGAGTGTGCTAATTAGCGTGCTCTAGCAGCCTCCACATCTCATTTATTCAATGTCCCCATGCTTCAAAATGGTGGCAGGAGCACTTTAGCTTTATTTAAAGCAACCCTGGTGCCATTTTGAAGTGCAGGATGCTGAATACATGAGACACTGTGGGCACTTTAATTAAAGTGGTCCCCACCTCCTACCCCCTGGAGCACATGTAAAGATGCCCTATGAGTGTTAAAAATACTGAGACCTGTTGTGGTCTTCTGGAGTTCTTTGTGCAAAAAATAGCTCTATTACTTTTCTGTAGTCAAAAAAATTAGTGAAAACAAAAAGTGAGCATTTTTGAGAAGTGTCCTGAATCTAAGAAGGGGTGCCTCAGGTCTAAAAAAGGTTGAGGACCACTTCCCTAGCATTACCAGTGGTTCTGTGCATATACAGAAATTATTAAATCAGCTTTCAGCTGATTACTATAAAGATGCAACTCAATCAAAGTTAAAAAATCCTTTAAAGTTCATTGACATATAATGAGGAAATATCTTCAGGTTATGTATAAAGCTGATTTATTTTTCATGTTTCTTTTAAAGAAAAAATTGCTCTTTTTTAGGGCTGTCAGTTAATCGCAGTTAACTTACACGATTAAAACAAAAACAAATTAATGCGTTATATTTTTTAATCGCATTAATCACGTACATCATTTTGACCAGCAGAGCAGACCAGCTCTGGACCAGCTGGAACCTGTGCACACAGCCCTGACCCTGGTCCGCTCTGTGCCTGCTCCAGACTCACCCATCTGCACTGAGCAGCGGTAGGGGCCTGGCAGACGCTGCTACTTGGCACAAGGGAAAAGCAGCCCCTGTCCCTTACTGCTGCTGGGCCATTCTTGCTGTGGCTGCGCAGAGCCTGCGCCCAGGCTGCCCTGCGGCTCCTTTCTGCTGCCATCACCACCGCCTCTGGGCAGTGCAGAGAAGCCACAGGGCAGCCTGGGCACAGGCTCTGGGCAGCTGCAGCAAGAAAAGCCCAGCAGTGGTGAGGGGGAGGGACTGCTTTTTATCTGCGCTGAGCAGTAGCTTCTGCCTGGCCTCTGCCACTGCTCAGTTTGGGCAGGTGAGTTTGGAGCAGGTGCAGGGCAGGCTGGGTTTGGGGCTGTCCACACGGGTTCCAGATGGTCCACTCTGGTGAGTCTGGAGCAGGCGTGGGGTGGGGCAGGGGCAGGGCTGGGGCTATGCCTTTTTGGTTGTGGTGGGAGTTGCAGGGCACATGGACTACAAGGATTTGGGTGGGGGGCTGCTGACTATTGTTTAACTATGCAATTAGAATTGAGATTAATTGCAACTTTTTTTAACCTCATAACAAATTGCTATTCATTTTTTAAATTTCTGTCAGCCCTAATCTTTTTATAACTCAGTCAACCTAAAAATTAAATCCCAAATTATATTTCACATGATTTCTCTGTCTTCCTTAGTAGTGCCCTCACCTTCAGTCAGTTGCATATAAGCAGGCCCCTACTTTGCCCAATCACAATTAGTAGTAGGATCATGACCTAAATGCTGTTTGTAGTCTTTACTCAGGCAAAGTTTCCATTGATGTACATGGGGCGTGTCAGAATAAGGAGTGTAGGCTTGAACAAACAGCCATTCCCAAAACAGCCATTGCACTTTGTTCTTCTGTACTTAGGATACTAATTTAGGGCTTGGGAAACCAGGGTTTATGTTTCTGCTATTTCATAGTCTTTTTGTGACTTTGGTCTGGTCACTTTTTCACTCTTTGCCTTAGGGGACTTTTAAAACAGAAAACTCTCTCAGAGGGCTGCTGTGAGGGTAAATAAGTTAAAAGACTGAGGTATTCAAATAAGTCAGTAACAGAGTCTTGTAAGTACTTAAGATAGATAAACCTTTTTTTCTTTTCCTATTGAAATAGAATAAAATAACACAAAATGCAGAGACATTTCTGTTTTCAAACCCAGAAATCAGATATGTAGCAAGCATCTGCAGATGTTTAAACAGAAGAAAATGTGAAGAAGATGCAAGGATAGAGTTCTGTATTCAGAATTATTTTTGAATTGGAAAATGCTACTTTTTCAGGCTGTACTTGGGTTTTACTGTGGGTAAATAAAAATGGAGCAGAGAATTTATCTGCAAATTTGTAGCTCAGTTTGTCAGAAACTGATAAACTTGGTTTATCTAATTCTGAAACATACTGTTAGTTGTTGGGAAGAGTAACAATATGATTATGAAATTGAAACTGTTCAGAAATAAACTAGTGGATAATGCTTATGTTTAAATCTTCCTTTTGCGGCTGGCCTGGTCTGACAAACCAATCTGCTATTTACAGTTTAAGGATTTAATCCTTTACTTCTAGTAGTTTGTGTTTTTGGTCATTAGGTTTTAACCTCACCGAAAACTATGGGGGCCATAGGCATATGGTCAAACGTTTGCTACATGTAGGTGCTTTAAGATTTTACCATGCAAAGTTGTATATTGCGTTGTACTGTAGAAGATTTGCAAGAAAAATAAATACCTATATATGTATATCTATCTATCAATCGATCAATAGATAGATATAGATCTATATCTATCAAGATAGATATAGATCTATATCTATCAAGATAGATATAGATCTATCTATCTATCGAAAGTAATTAAACAATCATTCTGAATGTAACTTGCTAATTTGCTGCTACATTTTATGATTAAAGAGGAATAAATGTGCTGATTTCACAATCCCCTCTCCCTCATGTGTCCCACCCCCCACAAGGAACCCATGAAGACCAAAATTAGTGATAGTCTTGTATTGACAGGCAAGAAAAATGTTTGAAGGTGAAATGGCAAGTTTGGAGGCTATTCAAAAGACCAACACCCTGAGAGTACCTCAGCCCATTAAAGTGATTGACCTGCCCGGAGGAGGTGCAATGTTTGTCATGGAGCACCTGAAGATGAGGAACCTCAGCAAGTATGCATGAATTTCATACTGCTCTTTTACTGCAATATTTAGGGTTGCCTGCTTATACTTCAGGTCCATCAATAAGACTTTTTTCAGCAAGTGATGTCTTGGTCTTGGAGACATTAAAATCAATGGTTAAACTTCTGGGCATAATTCTCTGCTGGTGTACTTTCATTTATTCAGTGGAGTTATGTCAGTAGAGAACAACCCATTAAAAATGTCAGCAAAATATTCCACATTATTCATATACCTGCCAGAGCTCTGAAAATTTCCCCACTCTTTTACCTTTATCTATCAAATACTGAAAGCTTTAGTATTAGCTCTACTGGCAGGAAACAGCCCATGTCATATACATTTTCTCAGGTAATTAACTTGTCTCTGGATGCTTCTGGTTGCCTACTGTCAAGTCAACCTGTTTCAGCTCTCCCTTTTTTTTTTTAAATGGCTGCCTGATTCATACACTTGTTTCCTGCCATTGCTGGTCTTAATTTTTCAGACAATGTTCTTAAAGATATGTTTTCAATGCATAGTAACATGTTTAGTTTTTTGTCTCTGATCTTAAGGTATTCTGCAAAGCTTGGGGAGCAGGTAGCAGATCTTCACCTTTACAACCAAAAACTTGGAGAGAAATTAAAGAAGGAAGGAAACACAATCGGTAGATATAGATTTTCTGGACTAATAGAACACTGGTATCATAGCTTTTGAATGTGATACCATGTTTAAAACATATGCCATTATAATCTTTATGAGTAGAAAAAAACTGTATAAAGAAACATTCATTGGCAAGACACCACCTACATGTACATGTGTGTTAATTTGTACTTTATATATAAAAATATTACATATAAAGATTATATGGTGTATATGTGCGTGTGTGTGTATATAATAATGTGAATATATGTGTAATCCTTTCATCCATGAAAGACCAAACTGAAAAAGGTTTTTAACTCTTTATTCATAGATTCATAGATGTTAGGGTCGGAAGGGACCTCAATAGATCATCGAGTCCGACCCCCTGCATAAGCAGG